ACAAGGGAAGTAGCTCTGGGGCGCCAATCTGCCTTTCATTCCCTGTTTCTGCTTCTTCAGCCTTTAAAAGGCCTATAAAGCCAAGTCCTCTGCCTCGCTCAATGGAGCACATTTTCTCAACTTATGGATGGGATGCTGCCTGGTTCATGAATCAGTAATAAAAGCTAATTAAATCTTTAACGTTGTTGAAATTTTGTGTTTTTTTTGACAATAATAACCTCAATAGAAATAAAATTTGCAAGAGTTCCAATGTAATTAGAACCTTAAGGCAATTCAGTTAACCATTAAATACTTAGTACGGTAGTTAAGTACTCTTAGTACAGGTTAAGCATCCCTAATTTGAAGTCCGAAATGCTCCAAAATTTGAAACTTTTTTACTGCTGACACATGCTCAAAGGAAATGCTCACTGGAACATTTTTGATTTGGGATTTTCGGATTAGAGGTGTTCCAGTGGTAAGTATAATGCAAATATTCCAAAATCGGAAAAACGCTCCTGGTCCCAAGCGTTTTGGATGACGGATACTCAACTTGAACACAGATATTCTAAGAGGCACTTCAGATTAGAAAAAGCCTGCATTACGTTCTTCCTCATCTAGGGCAGTCTTGGGAATTCAATCAAAACACAGATCTATTTTCCCCCTATCACAAACACACTCACTCACCTAGCAGTTGACTAGGTTCAGACTCCAGCCATCTTGATCATCTTCTCCTTTACTTGGGGCTGGGTTTTCGTTGAATTCAAGGTTTGGAGTCTCTGGAATTTATGCTCTTTTCCCGAATGAGAAGCGTAACAAAAATGAAACAACTACACCAAGCTTCAGACATTTAGCATCATACAATAGTCTCCTGTTTATATGTTTGTCTTTTTCCTTTGTAGCTCAACGTCAGCATGTGTCCTCTTCCTCCACTGATCCTTCGTCCAGTGTCTAGCATAGTCAGTGTCTGCTGTTTGCTGAATGGGTGGGTAAACAGCTAAACACGGAAATCCCTGTGATATGGGAATCGTTGCCAACATCTAAAATTAAACCAATTTTTTTTGATAGCAAATAATGTTAAGGTACAAAGAAGTGAAACACAACTCCTTTTAAGAAAAAGAAATCCTAAACTCAGTAATATTACTCTGAGCAATTGCAGGAAAACTTACATAACTTGCCAGAAAGAACAACCCAAGACAGTCTATGAAACAAAATTGGGGTTGTGGTGACTTTTATCTGCATCATTGCAATTTAATTTCTCAGTTTTACAAGTAAAATGAAAATGAACGGGACCGATTGGATTAATGTTACAGATTCCGGGAGGTGGTCACAGCTGAATCAATCCATTTACCTCCATGGGAAGTGTTAATATATATCTTATTGCTTATTTTCTTTTAACCTAACACTTTACGCTCAGCCAGGGATCCAAGGGATGATGGAGGTTGCTGGGCAGGAGTGTCAGTACAGAGGCCAGTTAGATGCGAAGACTGGCTTAAGCTGCCCAGTGCTGGCACTCAGGAATCTGGAAAGTTTAAACATTATCACCTGACACCAATCCTTTGTGAGGGCCCAACAGAACCTTCCTTGTCTTCAGTGAGAGCTGTCCACTTGTTCTGGAACACTTCTGAGCACTCCCTTTCCAGGCGATGGAGAAGACGAGGAGGTGAGCCCACACCCTCCCTGTCTCCTATTGAAGATGCCACTGCACTTTCCACATGAAGACATCTGGAGCTGTAAGGGAGGTTGTGCAGTTTCTATCCGCTTACCTAATAGCCCCTCCACCAAGCGACCACCTTCCTTGGAGTTCTCAGGGACCATCCCCTCCCCACAGACAGAGGCTCCTTCAGTTTCCAGGCCATGTCTCCTTTTTCAAGTCTGTGGGTGAATTGTGGGGTCCACTCACCTCTGTTTTTCTAAATCTCTCAAATCCCTTTCCTACCCTGGTATGTCCAGGATTCATCTCCTTAAAATTTGTTTAAATGGCATGAGTTACAAATAAGATTGGGTAGCACATGCTATTTAGAAAGTTTCTGAAACAGAAGGAAAGAAGGAAGGAAGGAGTTGTTATGTAAATGAGAAATACTAAAAGGCTGTTTAACTGATATTGCAGACACTATAGTTCCATAAAAAAGATATAATTATGAAAAGGTTTGTAAACATTTTTATTTTTTCTTAATTGGCCCTTGAGCAGACCAGATGACTCAGTACTGGTCTCCAGGGATCAGCCTGCGCTCCAGGGCATTATAACATATTTATATTGCTTATCCTATTTAACCTTTTGAGTCATAATTGTTTTCACAGAACCTTATTTACTATAACCAGCTCTATAAATCTACATAGTATACACATTTCATTTAATATCTAAGTAACATATATTCTTGTACACCATTAAATATATCCAGTAAAGATACCCTGGCTTGCTTAATAATTCCCCAAATGTTAACAGATTTGAGTTACAATTAATGCAGCAATTCTCCCTTTACCTCCGTAGAGATAATTTTATTTTGTTTCTCTAATGCATGTTTCTTTTTCTGTATGTGTTTACAATCAGACAGGCAGCTTTGTTAACGTCTCGTCTTTGTGTGTTATTGTTGAAAAAAGGATTTCCTGAATCAAAAAACATGATCAGTTTTATGACCATTCCTGGCTTTTGCTGTTGGAGACTTTATAGCAGCAGAGACATTGAGGTCTGAAGTAGCACAATGACCTTTTACTTTACAAAATTCTCATAAGAAAAACTTTCATGTTCTGTTTTTTAATTTGATAAATTGTCAGTTATGTATCATTGAATTTTTATCTCTGCTGAAATTATACCAGAACTACATATTTGCAGAAAATTCCAGAGGAGTAGGGATGGGCCCTTAGTGCAGTAATCCATAGATTGTAACAATAGAGAACATGGTACTTTAAAAAAAAGTCGAGAGCTTTCGAGAAATACTAAAAAGGCTGTTTAACTGACATTGCAGACACTACAGTTCCATAAAAAAGATGTAATTATGAAAAACAGGGTTTGTAAACCTTGACCTGTCACTCCTCTGACCTGTCACTCCTAAAATATGTCTCCTAGCAGTCATCTTTCTGCCTTCCTGGGCCAGAGCTTTATGGGTTACCTTAGGGTGATGATGGGGACCTGGTTTTCATGAGGCCATGTTTAAATTCAGGGGTGACCTGGCTGCGGAGAGGGTATAAACCCATGAACACAGTCTAGTTGACAGACTAGGATTGCAACTTTGTAAAGAAGAGCCCAAGGCCTGATCAGAAGGAGACACAAATGAGCTCATTTTTAATAGAACTAGGATTAGGGAGGACAAATGGATTGGGGTGATTCTGAGGGAGGGAAGGCCTGGATAGGGGACTGTTTTGGGAGAGCCTAGAAACCACACAAGCGTCCCAGACATCTGGGCTATAGTGGAGAATAGAGCGGAATGAGAGCAGTCATGAAAAAGAGTAAGGGAACGCAAGAGAAATTTGATTTGCTTATTTCTGTCTAGGCATGGTTCTGCCTTTAGCAATCTAAGGCAATTTCACAAAGCCCCACTCACTGCACAGGATGTAGAACATGGCAGAAGCTTCCACTCTGGTTTGACTGACTTTTGTGAATTGAGCTGGAAAGCCAAAAGGACACATTTCAGTGTGGAGATCCAAGTCTCAGTAGGTGTGGTGAGGGCCCCGAAGGTCTTGGAGAAGGAGGTGTCTTTGCAACTGTGTAGCGATGGTTTTCTGATCAGCAAATCTGAGGACAGGGAGGTATTGTGACCAGGGCTGTGTGATTCTGGGCAACCCTCTTTTCACCCTGCCCACATAGAAGACTCTGCTTTGGATACAAAAACAAGGAGGGATATTGATACAATGGACTCTAACTTGTCCATGGCTGCCTTTTGAACAATTTAGTACATTTGAGTAACCTCCACAAGCCTGCGTCTCCACGGCAAAGTTCCTGCTCTTCTGGGGAATTTACTTGTCAATTGTCTGTTTTGGGTCCCATTTTGACTCCAGCATTCCAGGACTTATCTTCTTGGAGGCCTTGGTTTGGAATTTCCCATTGGATGGGGCTACTTGGGTGCTGGGAAGCTTCAACCTGGCTTCTGTAAGAATAAAGCCTCAAGGGTGGTCTGCTAGGAGAATGGAAATGCCATTGATTAAAACTGGAAGGTTAGGAGAGAGGCCTGAGTTTGGAATAGGAGATGAAGTTTTAAAAAATCAGTTTTTAAAATTACATTTCCCATCTGAAATGCCAGTGAATATTCAGACAGATTACATTGAAAAGGCTGACATTTCTGTAGCAGCAATGAATGAAGTCATCTGAGTGGATGAGGTGCACTAGGCCATACATGGAGAAAAGAACAGTTACAGAAGCTTCCCCTGCCTGTGTGCGGCCACAGCCTCTTCGCATTTCCTAGTTAGGAAGGATGCTGGGGTCTGCTGGGATCTCCATGTTTCTACCTGTACTTCAGAGGGCTGGATTTCTGACCTGTACACAAGTCGCAGGATTTGCTCTACTGAGAGAGTTTTTCTCCAGAATACAAGTTTCTTGTTTCAGACACGGATAGCCAGTTTTGCTTCTAGAATCATTTTCAGCTACATACAGAAAAATGAAATTGGCAGAGCTGACGGAAGCTGGGGTATTAGGAAGGTCCAGAAGGCAGGCTGAAAAGTTAACCCCCTTCTCTTCACCCTTATCCTCACTACGCCCCTCTCAGTGGCCTGACTTCTGCCTGGGACACAGAATGTCGTTTGAGGATGGGACTACCCAAAGACCTCCAAGCGCTGCCACACAAACAGCAAACGGCGTCGGCCGACAGCATCCACATTTCAGATGAGAATGGCATCTGCAGGGACCCGCTGGTCGTGGGTCCAGGTCTCCGCAGGGTCTGTCCCGTCCTTCCCTCCCACCAGGACTCTGCGGCCAGGCGGGGTCGGGAGAGCTGATGCCGGAGGGCGCTGGGGGAGCCTGGCCCGCGCGGGGCCGGTCCGAGGGCGGAGGCAATCCGCCGGCGACGCCGCAGGTCCCCGGGAGGCTGACGCCGTCCGGGGGCGTTCCTGGGAACTGGGGGCCGGCGAGCCTGGACCCGACGCGCCCGGGAGGAGCCGGCCGGCGGACACGTGACCCACCGCGGCGGGGCCGGCGGCCCAGAAATAGCAGCGGCGGCGGTTCCGCCCGCTGGCAGCGCGAGCGAGGGACCCAGGCGGGAGACGCCGGCGGGGCGCGGGCGCGGTGGCCCCGGAGGATGCTGCTGAGCCCCGGCCTGGTCCGGCCGCGAGCACATGATGGCAATACGGGAGCTCAAAGTGTGCCTTCTGGGGGTGAGTCCTGGCCGCCACCCGCCGGGGGACCCCGGCCCGCGTCCCCGCGCCCCCTCTCTCCCTTCGACCCCCCGCGCTCAGTCCCCGCGGTCCCTCGCTCTCCGCACCCCTTTCGTAGCTCCCGACCCCTCTTCCGCGCGCCCCCCTGGTTCCCCGGGTCCCCTCGCTCCCCTAGTCCGTGCGTCCCTCGCTCTCCGCACCCTCCTTGTTCTCCACGTCCCTGCGACCCTCGGGTCTGCCCCCGCGCTCGCCCTGCGGGGGTCCGGTTCGAGCCTGCCCTGGGCTTTCTCCTCTTTTTCCTCACCGTTCCCGCGTCTCCGGATCCGCGACGGCCTTGCTGGGACCCTCGGCGGGGACCCGGCAGTGGCAGCGTGTCTGGGACCCCGAGGGCTTTCTCCTCCGCCTTTGATAGTTTCCTTCCGGCAGAAAGTTTAAGTTGCTCGGCCAAGTCGCTGAGTCCTCTTTTGCCCCCTATTCCCTTAAAACACAAAAATAAAACCAAAAGCGAACCCAGCCAAGGGGGTGAAAGCCGAGGGCGCGGCTAGGGTGGAAGGTGGGGCAGTGACCTGTGCGGAGCGCGCCCTGCAAACTTACCTGCTGCAGATGAAAGAAGCAGGCTGGGAAAGTCCTCCCCACCACCACTCCTCCCAAAGTGGGGTTTTCTCAGCCTGAAGAAGCCTTAAAGCCATCAGAAACGAAGAAGCAGTGAATCCGGGCGGCCCGGGGACACGGGCAGGGGACCCGGCGAGGACACGGGGGAGCCGCTGGCGAACAGCCCCTGGGAATCCAGATCAATGTAGGGTCTCTTCCTTTTGGGGGCCCACATCGCATTCCAGAATTCCTTCTTCTAAAAGAGGAGCTGGTTCGCAGGGCGTTTTCAGCAGCCTTTGGCATGGGCGCCTGGTGTAGCCGCCCATGTCGTTGGCAAAGCTGGTCTCTCATGAAAACCATTTCCTAAAAAAGAGCAGCGAAAGGGTCGCATTCTTGTGCGAACTGATCTGTCAAGATGGGGGTACAAGAATTGTAGAAAGAGGAGATGATTTAGGTGAGGACTGAATTGTGCCAGCGTTTCTAGGCTTCCTCTAGGTTTTTCTGGAACCTCGGGCAGGACCGTGTTCTCTGCCCCGGCTCCCATCACCGGCCTCTGCCAAAACCATCCTTTACCCTAACTCGATTGTCCAGTTGGTCTAGAATTCCAGAGGATCTGGGAAGGCCCTGCCTATGCCCCCCCCCCCGTAGTCCCCCCCACTCCCCCGCCCGCGTAGTCCCTGGATATCCCCACCTACCCCCACTTGCTCAGCCACAGTCAGGATCTAGTCTGGGCTTTCTCTGTTGCCCTATTGGTGTTGCTGAAGTGGATTTCCCTGCTCCCCAGGCCCTCTAATATAGTCCAGACATACATTCCTGGAATCCCATGCTTCCCTCTTGAGGAGCCATTTCAGCCTCAGGGAAGGCCTTCAGAGACTTAGAAGGAATGTCATGTTCCAAGGAATGAAGAGGCAGCCTTGATGTGTGCTGTGTTTGTCAGGACTGGCCTTGGGAAAAATGAAATAGGACATGTTTTTGCCTTTTTTTCTTAAACTCTTTCTCTTGTCTTTTACTGAGGTGGTCTAAGCCCTGCCCTATTAGAGGGACCCCTTATTTTCAATTTTGGTATTTAGGGACAGGTCTCATTCTCCTACCAGGACACTGATCAAGTGGTAAGAACCCTGTGTCAGGAAACCCAGGAAGGAAACCCAGGCTCTCATTCTTTCCCACCAACGAGCTGTGTCGTTTAAGCAAAGCAACTCAGCGGCCTCATCTATGAAATGGGCATAATAACATGTTTCCTCTTAAGGCAGAGAACTATACCAGATGATCTCTTAAGATACATGCTACCATTTTCTACTAACATGAGTTCAGGGTGGCAATTAGCAAACCTGGAAGAGGAGGCAGCTGGAGAAAATCTCTTTACTTCTTTTATCTCCAAGAATGATACACTCTTTGAGTGGCTTCCTGCAGACAGCGCCTTACCTTTGCCAGTTCTGTGGGTAGGAATTTGAAGCTGGAGTTGGGGGAACCATGCCAAAGCAGAGAAAGAAGAGGTTTCTGGGCAGGCAGAAGGCTTTGAAACATCAATCATGCTGGGCACAGTGGCTCACGCCTGTAATCCCAGCACCTTGGGAGACTGAGGTAGGTGGATCATTTGAGGTCAGGAGTTTGAGACCAGCCTGGCCAGCATGGTGAAACCCTGTCTTTACTAAAAATACCGAAAAAAGTTAGATGGGTGGTAGTAACTCATGCCTGTAATACCAGCTACTCTGGAGGCTGAGGCAGGAGAATCACTGGAGCCTGGGAAACGGAGGTTGCAGTGAGCCAAAATCGCACCCCTGCACTCCAGTCTGGGTGACAGAGTGAGACTTTGTCTCAAAAAAAGAAACATCAATCATATCACACCACAAATGTGGCTTCCTTTTTTTTGAGGGTGGCTGTAAGTTTCAGTTTGATTGAAGTCAGAGGACATTTTATTTGAAAGGCCAAATGACCTTTTGTCCACACTAAAATAAGATTTGTCATGTCCCCTCGTTTGGCTATCTCTTCCGTGGGTAAGATGTGCGCAGCAGGCCGGGTTTCTAGCTACTCGTCCAGTTCGGATGGTTCTCTGGGTGGAATAACATTTTAGGGAGATCAAAGCCATTTTAACTGTCTTGGGTTTACTCTCTTCTCTCTCTCTTTTTGTTTTGAGACAGTGTCACATTCTGTCATACAGGCTGGGTGCAGAAAAACCATCATAGGTCACTGCACCCTCCAATTCCTGGGCTCAGTGGATCCTCCTGCCTCAGCCTAGGTTTATTCTCTTGATTGGAGAGACCCTGTGGGTCAGTCAGTGCTCAGTCCAAAAGTCCTTTTAAAAAATATGTATATTTTTGAGATAGGGTCTCACTGTCTCGCCCAGGCTGGAATGCAGTGGTGTCATCACGGCTCACTGCATCCTCAACCTCCCAAGCTCAGGTGGTGGTCCCACCTCAGCTAAGTAGCTAGGACCACAGGTGTGCACCACTCAGGGCAGCTAAACTTTTGATTATTATTGTAGAAATGGGGTCTCCCTATGTTGCCCAGGCTCTTTCAACATTTTAACAGGAAGCTTGGGCTCCTTTGTTCTTTTTGTAGGGAGGTCTATCTCTTCTGGGTGAAGTTTTGCATGTGGCTGGCACTCAGCTTCCTGTTTTTCAGCCATAAGGCACCTCCCTGAAGTCTTGGTAGGACTAAGACCCTAACAACCACACCTTCTTTGTCCCTGTTATAATCACTTTCTGTTGGGTTTCCCTTAGAAGCTGATAGAGAACGTAGACTTCATAACACAATCACTCTCTCACTGGGAAGGCTGAGGGGCTGGTCTTTTTGTGCCTGGTCCTGTGCTCAGTGAGGACTTGGGGATGTGCTTCCCATTTGAGGTACAGGTTGGTTTAGGCATGGGCAGGGAGAACTTTCAGCACAGGCCCCCTGCTGGTTACTATTTGCTATAGTCTCCTCCTCCATCTATGGGAGCAGGGGTCTTATCTCCTGACATTAGAGTCATTTGCAGGAGGTAGGAGTGAAACTGGGCCAGGTGCCAAGTCTTCTCTACCTGAGCTTTTCCTGTCTTCCTGGCATGTTAGGAATGTCTGATCTTACTTCTTTTGGTGAATGCTCCCACATGGGATGGACAGTGGCTTGTGGAACATTCTCTGAATGCTTTGTGTTCTTGGAAAACCAAGGACTGAAGAGTGTTGGGTTTGTTTATGTTATCTGTTATAAATTCTTGGCTTGCATTTCATGTGTGGACTTTCTCAGGTTTATTCCACATGGGGACAGCCCAGCAAGCCTTTGTGGACACCCTTTCCTGGCCTAAGCCCCGTTACCTATGGAAGTCAGCCATGCAGGAGGGTGTGCTTGACAGGCGGAAAGCACCGTGGGCAGGACCCCATGAACCTCTTTCTTACCAGGAAAGTGTCAGTCGCCCCACTTTGTGATCTGAACCGGTATTATGAAACATGGAGCTTAAAGGCAACACCCTTAAAAACAGCAAAGTTTATTACAAAAAAAAAAAAAAAAACCTAACGAAAACAATATTGAGGCAGCAGCTGCTTCAACCCCAAAGGTGGAAAGTTTCCCAGTATGCATTTTTAACACACAGCACCACGTGGCAAGAAGCAGGAGGATGGGAGGGAGTGGGGAGGAGGAGAAGGAGGAGGAGGGGACCTTTGTTTTGTTATTTCCTTGGGGTATTTGTGCGCGCGCACTTAAAAACTGCTTCCTGATGGAATCCCAAAGAGATTTATATTTGGGCTTTGGTTGCCTTGACAACAATTTAGAAATTTCTACCACTTCCCCAATAGCTGAGTGAGTAGTTAGAAGAGCTGAGGGCTTTCATGCTTCTGGTAAGGAGCTTGTTGAAGCATCTCCTCATGATCTTTGTTGGAATCTGTGTGGTGGTTCATCAAAGAGCAGCCAAATACCTGTGATTTGGTGAGACATCTGGGTAATGGGGACTTTACCTATGTCCAAGGCCTCCACACAGAAGGCCTCTTGTCTTCTCAAGGACACTAGGACTCAAGAGTAGAACAGATTTATGCTCACAGTAAGGCAGATATCAGAGCTGTGCAACCTCCCATGGGTTGCTTTGAGCGTGATATGAGAGAGTATTCAATAAGGCGACAGGAATTTGTTAGTGTTATTGTGGAAGGAAGGAATGCACAGGATAGTGGATTGGGCTACGTAATGATCACATTGCTCTCCAAGTCTGAGATTCTAGTAACTTACTATTTTTTTTTTTACCCCAGAGACTGGCATTTCTTGGGGAGGGGGGATGGTGTGGAGGGTGGAGTGGCTAGCCACAGCATTTATTTCTTGGCACACCTGATTCCTCTATTAAATTGAACCATTTGTGGAAAGTATGTTCAGCATTGGTGACTCTGGGTAGATATAAATGATATAGTGGGATGTCTTCCCAGCAGTGCCTGGCATATGGCAACACTGTG